GAGAGAGAGAGAGAGAGAGAGAGGGGGGGGGTGAAAGGAAAATGTCGCTTGATAATAATTCAAGGGTAGTTGCGTAAACGACGGGTGTCAGTTACGAGACGCGAGATTGAAGTTCAGCGGAGAGGAGGAGTCAGTTGGCGGAGGATTATCAAGCTGTTATTCCGCGGCACGGTTAAACAAACGTGCAAGTTATGTAACGAACCTGAACCACTCGTACTTAATGTCCCCGGAGCCGTCGACGTGACATCGAAGTTCAATCTCGCCTCCCACGCGGATCGCGGAGGGTAGCTTGGGCTGCTGGAGTTGCACGCTCGCCTCGCTGATCCCTGAAACAGAAATTGTGCGCGAATCGATCACGGTGCTTGCGAATAATTTAACCGTTTCCCTCCGCCCCTCCGCGTTTTCTTCCTCGGTTACGCATGCAAATTTCATTCGATATCGGTAAATACTTTTAGGGGGGCGGCGGCGGCGGCGGCAGCGGCGGCGGATTCCTACGACGCGGTTTATATCGACTCCTCCTCCTCCTCTCTCTTCTCCTCTCTCCCGCAAGGAGGAGAGCGGGAAAGAAGGGGCTCGCGGCGAAAGCTGAGCGGTGGTAAACAGCGATGGACCAGAAGCTTGGTGAAGAGCCGGCGGCATCCAGTTCGGGAAGAATCATTTTCAAGAGCAAGGTCGTTTGCTGTGCACAAAAAGCGGGGGACGAGAAGCAAAGGGGAGGGAGGGAAAGGGTATCGAGTAAAAGTGCGCCCTTTCCTCGGGAAAAAAAAAAAAAAAAAAGAAAGGAAAAAAGAAAACGTCGAAAGGCGGCCTCCTCTTCTCTCATGGTGGTTCATGAATCCTTAAAACGCGAGTGAAGTTATTTGCCGACGTCTTTCAACAAAGTCTGGGTAAATTAAGAAAAAAAGAGGAGGACGGCTCGAAGCGTTTGTTCCGCGCAAACCAGAGGACATCGCCGAAAGTCGATGTTGGGGAGGGGGAGGGACTCTTTTCTTCTTCTTCTCCTTCTTCTTCTTTTTCTTATCCGTCCCCTTTCCTTTTTTCTTCGAGGACCGAGTCCTTCTTGTCTTGTCCTCGTCCTCGTCGTCTGGAGGACGAGTCCTGTCGCGGATACGGGACGGATCGAAGGAAGGTACGGGGCAAAAAAGAGGGGGGAGAGTGGGAAACAAGGAGGATCCGAGGAGGAAGGAACTGGAAGAAGGAGACGCGGATGGATTCGATCGGACTCGTTTTATTCGATTCGATTAAAATCCGAGGAGGAGGGGGAGAGGTTTGTGCGCATCGACTTGGAATGGTAGGTTACAACGCTCGCTCTTGAATCCGTTTCGAGCAAAAAGGAAGGAGGAATCGAGCTGACATTCCCAGAGAGCTGACTTCCACCCTCCCTCTGGCTCTCCCTCCTCCTGCTCCTCCTTCCTCTCCTTCCAGCCTGGTCCAGCACGGTTGGAATTGCTTTCCCTCCCATTGTCCTACGACTGCTCTTTCCTCGTTCTGGAATTCCGCCCGCCGGTTCCGCCGGTAATCGCGCTTTCCACCGCGCCTTCTTTGCCGATACCCTTTTTTCTTCTCCAGGCCAGGCGAAGGGAATGGAACAGGCCCGTTCTCGTATTCTCGGCCACGTTCTCGTATTCTCGGCCACGACTCGTGGTTTCCATCGAACGTAGGAGGAGTTTGGTGGGTTATTCCGCGCGATTTATGCGACGCACGCCGACGTACGTGAACGCAGGGACCCAGTCTCGAGAACCCATTTTCGAGAAATTGGGGTCCCTACAACGTGAATATAATCGTACATATTCATTAAATTACGCTTCTCGTGCTATTTTAATTTTCTTCTATTGGCAAGAGTATATATCGTGCGATCACAGCATGAATCACGCGAAAAATATTTGCCTAATAAAGCCTTTATTTTCCCCATATATTACACGATACGACATTTAAAAGAAAAGAAAAGAAAATTTTTATTTCTATAAAAATATACAAGTAACTAACTATACGCTAACTAATGCGTATACAAATATTTTTTCTGTAATCAATGATAAAACAAAAATAAAATTTCCAATTAATAATAGATTAGCAACTTTTAATTCCTGTAACCATCCTTCAAGTAAACATCCTTTGCCCTGTAAAGGATACGGATTTATAAGGTGGAAACCGCAGACGAGTTAAGGAAGGAGGGGGCCAATGACGAGTTGATCCCAGCAAGGAAACTCGAGACAGATATCTGGAGGTTAACTTACGAACAGTTTACCGGAGACCGTCAGAACGATAAGGCTTCCTCCGTTAATTTGAACTCGTTATCCTTCGCGATCGATCGGTGTTGCGGCCGGATACCTGACTAATTTCTAGCTTCCGTTCTCCGATCGGATTTTTTCCACTTCTTCCCGAGCGAATCAAACGGCCATCGATCCAATCATATAAAATCCGATGGTCACGCGATGTTCGCCCGTGTTTTCAAGCGTTTCGAAGGCAATCCGTTTAATTGCTTCGTGCCTCGACATCCGCCTCCCTCCCCAATCCGTGCTTCATTCCATTACGGATCGTGGATGATTCCAAATCTGTCACCATCGATCCGATTTTTTTTGCATTACAAAATTATCCTCCGATCCGGGAAATGGCCGAGGAGCGCCGATGGAAAAAGTCATTAATCGGATCCGATCCGATTGATTTTTCGCGTTTCGCCGAATTCCTCTCCTCTTT